GAAGCACTGTCTGACGCGTCTGCCTCCGCGACCCGAAAGGAGAAGCGGCGATGGAAGATGAAGATGAATTTTCAATTGCGAAAATTTATTAATTCAGCGCGAAAGGCGCGGCCGCGAGTTTGACTTTGTATATCAGCAGATGTTTTCTACAATTCTTTTTCCCAGCTTTTCATTATTTACATACTGATGAAAAGCTGTCAGTGAGCGCAATGCTAAATGTTTATCGAATTGGTGAGCTTCGCTTCGAGAGTCACAGATTTGGTTTATGACGACGTGATCATGCTGCTTCATTAATTATGCGTGACTTCACTTCGCTACGTTAACCCTTATGCTTTATACAATTTTCTTATGCCTAGTTCTGCGACCTTTGCGACTGACATTATTATGGGAAGCTCAATGCGACTAGGATACGAATCCACTGTCAGATTTATGAATTTCTAATATTTATGTTTAATTTCTTAATTCTATTCTATAACTGATCAAGATTTAATCCGGCGCGTAGTAATGTCGTCGCAAGTGTATTCTGACAGATCAGTTCCGCTATTTTTGTGTAACCAATAAAACGCGAAATCTTATAAATTCAGTAGTTTGACAGAAATTTCGCATTCGCATTGTGCACACAGAAAGCTTCTCACTGATACACAGTGCGGTACGATGGGTTGGAGGTAACAGCTGGTCGGGATGACCACAGTCCAGTCATATAGATTCAAACTTGAGCCGCGTAATTGCACGTTAGCAGCGACTATGGATTGGCGCTGAAACGACCCCCGTCACAACGTCTGCGCCCAATCGTCATGCGTCATCGCCGTTTATGACGCAGGCTAATTTTTAATATGTCTGACTACGTAGAGCCACGGAAAGGTTTAGAAAATATAAGCGTAGTCATTGATCGAAATATTATGAATATTGGCATGCTGTAGAATATTTCTTTAAAATAGCGTGCACACTTATGAAGATTAGGAGGTAATCGCTTACGAAATACAGCCCGATCGATTGCGAAAAAGTTTTCCATAGTGTTTACTGTGCAACAAGTTCGGTGAACTACTATTCTTGCACTTTAGTGTACGAACTGCCATTAGCGGACACAAATTCTGGCGTAGAGAATGACGACATGTCATTAGACTGGGTTTTACGCCAGCAATGCATAGACCTGTCGTTTCTAGACATCTAACAGGACAATTGAAGCATATGACGGCTGCAGGGCATCTGAAAACTAGCTGTGTGTAGGTGCAACCACAGCGTCGCTGAGTGAGGTACGAACTCGACACTCTCACACTCAAACTCGACGCCAAGGCTCAGGCAGCATACATGCTCGACCAATCACGAATAAGGTCAAACCTCATACGTTCACAAGCAAACTCGAAGTTGTGGCTCAAACAACACAAATGCTCGTCGCACTACTGATAATGCTTTCTAGACTGAATGCATTATTTTATTTTTTATGTTTCGATTTATGCAAACTATCGCTGGTCTAATGCAATGCGTGCTATTACATTGAATTATACGGCAACCTTCACCGCTAAACGTTAAGGGAAGCCACTTAAGAAGCCACTGGAGAAAGTTGCTTGTCGAAATTGTTTTTCGACGTCCCAATCGCGGAGAAAGCAGAGTGAGGGATCGCATGACAGGATGACGTGGTGGAGGGGAAGTCCCTCGATTACTATGGTTACTGTGAAGGCCTGTGCTGAACCTCTTTTTCATCTCGGCCAAAGTATGAAAGAGATAGCCGTTCTTGAAACGTCAAGGGAGTGAAGTAAATCAATCGCAAGTTCAAGAAAATGATGTGAGGTTCATCTTGCACTCAAATACAATTTGTTTAGTGCTCTGTTTAAATAATTCCTTATGCATCTAAAACCACGGGAAGGGTGACATGCATCGTAAACTTTAATTTTTGAGAATTTATGCACTTATTAACGTACTCCAGAATGCGACACTATATTCTTTGAGTTCCCATAGCTTGAAATCAAGGTAATAGGAGCACTCATTTGTTCAGCCTCTGAATATTGGACAAAAATCCCATACTGCATTTCTCCTGCGAACCTTCGAGTCTACAATATGTTATGAAAGGTGATGTGGATTTTTTCTAGCAGTCCCTTTGATATGTACGCAGTTAATTATGGAAGAATTCCATCTACACAATGGAACTTCTCCATCTTCGAATGCAATGACGGCTTAGGACATTGTTGTGCAAAAAGTTTGCAACAACGTCTACCGCTGTCAAGGATTGAACGGTTAGCGCCGAAAAATTGTTTGTTACTCTGTCAGAAAAAGCAATTCGATCCTGTTATCTCCAATGCATCAGAAAAAATCAAACGAGCACGACAAATTTTGGCAAACAACTTTCTAGAGTCAAGGATTAAAGGATAAAGCTTGCCAGTAGGAAGCGATAAGAGCTGAAACGCAAATACTTGTCATCTGGAATGTACAGTGACAAATGTGCAAACGGCAAATCGACATGTTATAGGATTAAGTTCAGATTTTAAAGTTAGAAAAAGGTCATCAGTATTGACTGGTCAAGCTTCAGTTGCAGTAACTTGCATCGATTGAAAAGCCATTATTTTTTCTGGATATCCCAGTTGGATCACTGACAAAGAAACACACTTAAGTAGCAGTATCTTTAACAATAGCAGCTGTCAGAATTTGAGTTAGCGAGGTACATGTAATTAAAGGTAATGTATTTTATCGGCATGCATTTATAAGATACGTAAATGTCGCCATTCAGAAGAACATCAACATGGTATATCAAGTTAATTGCGAGGCTTAACGCAGTGCATTTGCTGTACGCGTGCATGATGTCAAACAGGGGCGGGCGTTGCAGAACACACAATAGCCATTGGAAGCTAGCGTAATCACTATTTCGCATATGCTAACCTTGTCTCAGATACTAGTAATGGAGTTTTAGAAGCATGGGCTCGATACTTTTCCGAAATGGCAATGGATCCTTCTCCTTCTGTTCAAGAAGAGGCGATGCGCAACGGTTGACCTTAACGTGTTGGAAGTCGGCATAACAGAGAATCCAGTTTACTGTAACCAGCGAGACGGTGTCGTGCTTCGACGATGTAGCTTGAATGTGGCATGTTTAGATTGCCATTCTGATGTGATGTGTTATCTCCCAAACGGCAGCTAATGTCCGTTCTTAAATGATCATTTCCTCACCTACGATATACCCCTGCTGAATCAGAAGGAATGATAAGTTACTGTTTTGTTATGAAACGTTCTACAGTATCATCATCGATGTTCGTCGGTTCGTCGAACTAGTTTCTCGAAGCCGGTGCAAGTCACTGACGACTTCGCACGACTGAACAGTAACCTACTCCGTGATTTACTACCGAAAATCATGAGCTCTGAATTTCGAATGGTTCAAGCCAGAATGTGGCATGCAACCGTTGCACGTGCCGCGTCTGAAATCAAACGTTCTCCAATCAACGTACAGTATTTGGCCGAAATCTCCGCTTGCAAGTTTCGTACTGCCGGTGACACTGAAGGTGAAATGTGGTACGACGCGCGCCATGCACTTCTCGATGCGCTGCTTGGCCCCAGCAATCGCCAGCTTCATACAGTACTGCATCGACGGGTACGGAACGCTTGATCCGGAAATCTGCGCCACCTGCGGATTGGAAGCCAGCGAAGGCATGTGGCATCCGCTTCTGAAATACATCATCGTGCAACGATAATACACGCAACAACACCGTAGCGTTGCATCTTCACCCACCCGGAGAAGCACTGCGATATTTGTCGTTTCCGGGTGCTGAGCAGCGTCTGGTTATATATTATGTTGCGGAGGTTCGTGCGAGTGCAAATCTGAAACTTACGCAGCTCGCTGATGCACCTCGATGGAACATTGTCGGCAACGCTGTACTGAACATGATGCATCAGCATGCATGCCACGGCCGTAGCGATCGTCAGCATCACCATGTTTCGAGTAGCGTCGCCAACAAACTTACAAACAAGAACTTCT